AATAAATGAGGTCAATTTATCCTCTAGTAGTCTAAGCCTATAGCAGCATAACAAGCCAACCCTAACTATAGGATTTCTGTTAATTCTTAAGAGTATTCTTGAGAAATAATTCTTGAGTTATCACTCACTACTGAAAGATCTGTGTCTGTGCATGTACAAAGTATATATATGCTGGTCTGTTAGCAAAATATCTCACATCTGAGTCCGACAGTAATCAGTGGATGTAAATCTCGAGCTGATTAGGTTTTGGAGTCAAACAAATTCAAGATGGCCACAAGAGTCAACAAACCTTAAAGAACACGAACGTTAACAGTCAATTTCATAACATTTTGTGTGGTAGTAACTTAGAGTCCTCCCCAAAACCTCAAAACTCAAAGATGGGATGGCACGAGTGGTTGATATTCATTCCCTGAAATAATGCTATAAATCTTTAAAATGTGTTTTAAATTTTTTTTTTTTTCTTGTATAACTTTAAAATTACCGTCAATTTTATTCATGTAGCACGTTAAAAAACAACAATGTTGAACAAAGCGCTTCACAAGCAGGAAATCTATCGATAAAATAAATGAAAAATCAAACATTAGAAACCACAAATATAATTTAAAAAAAAGCTAAAAACAAACTAAAACGAGAAAATCTAAGAAGTCCTGATGGAACTCAAACTGAACTTGAATTAAAAGCCAGCGTAAACAAAAAAAAAAAACAAAGTGAGTTTTTAGGTGATTTAAAGAAGCAGGAGCTTCAGAGTCGAGGCTGCAGCAGCTAAAACCAGATCCCCACTAAAAGCATCCGGAGGATCTCAGTGCTCTGTTCGGGTTTTAAAAGTGCAAAAGATCCATCAAATAACTGGGTGTCGACTCATTTAAATGTTCAAGTCAGTAAAAACATCGTACAGTCACTATGAAAGTTTTAGGAGGAATTAAAGATTTTACTTTGGCTATTAATAACTGATAAAAACTGTTTTTTAACGTTAGTGGTAACTTTTAATCTCTTGGTAGTTGATCTGTGGTTGGCAGAGTTGTTGTGGGTCACTGTTAATAACCCTCAGAGCTGGTGTGAAACAGTTTTGCATACTTGCCTGTGAATTTGACTGCAGCCGGCATCAGCGTTAGACGAGAGCGACAGCGGAGGATTAGTTTGACGCGCGGGCGTGTTCAGGACAGGTTCTCCGTGTGTACGGCTTCTGATCTTTTCATGCCGATGCAAATTTTTTTTTATGCGCCTGTTCCGATTGTGTCGCTGTGTTTCCAACCCAGCAGACGCCCTCCTGCGTCACTCACACCAACACTAACCTTAAACAAAACATTTTGTTGCTTCGCGACACAGAAAGCTGAATCTTTTTCTTTGTGTGTTGTTTATTTTAGTGTTTGTGTACAAGGATTACTCAGTGAGCTTTTAAGAGTTACAACAAAGTCCATGCCCAATTATTCAGGTATACAATCCAACAGTTTTCACTCAGGTCATCTGGACTTTTGGTGTTTTGAACCAGTTTGACATGGCTGTCGACGAGGGAGAGGGCGGGGTTTTAAGAGTTACATTTTTTGAGTTGTATTGTACAAGTAGGAAACAAATCTATCTAATATATAATAATATATCACTAATATATCTAAACTCAAACTTATTCTCCACTGCTGTTTTTCCACTGTCCAGTCTCAGCACGACTCTCTTCGCTCTATTTCGACCCGACTCAGTTGTGGACAATCTTGAAGGTTCTCCATATAAATGAGTGCCGCCTTGATGTGGGCGGGTCATTATAGCACGACCACCTGAAACAGGTGCAGGTCAGAGTCTAAAATCAAGTCATATTGGTTGAGATCCAACAAGCGCAGAAAGGTCCGCACATGCTCATAGTACCACAGTTTACACGGTGTCATTTTATTAGATGTATTTTTTAAAGTAAATAGTAAAAAAAACAATGCTGCAACTGTAAAGTTTTAAAAATGGTGGGTTAGATAGGCGTCGTCACCTTGTTTGGTGTCCCACCTGCCTTCAATTAGAAGTTTAATTTGGTGAAAGTTCACATCTCCATTGAGGAGGACTATTGAGAAGTGCTCTAGGAGCACCCTCCGTGGTGGTTTAGAGGTTTGATCAGGAGAACGTGAGGACTGGAGGTTTGCATGACTTGCTATTTCTGGGCATTGTTGTCTGGATTCGGAGGAGGCGTCAGTATCAGGGACAACCCTGACCTGTGGCTGTTTCAGGGATCCTCCTAAATGACAGAGAATCTCTACGTGACACTAACAGAAGGTTTGATTTGGATTCGTGTGCACACAGACCAGTGTCAGTCTATTCCAGCTGCTCTTGTTGTCTGCTGGCTTGGTCTTTTTGAATACACGCTGCTGTTGCCTATTCTTCTTCCTTAACTGATCCAGTGTTTACTTCAGCTTCTGTTGCATTTCCGCAATACGTTCACACGTTGATGCTTCCATGGCTCTTCCTCTTTGTGGCGATTGGTGAGCAGAAGAAATGCTTTCATCTTCCAGCACCTTTTAAAATGAACAAGGCACAAGGTACACGATGTGACCTCCTCAGGCTGAAGGTTGCCACTCATAGCATTTGATGAGAGTCTTCGAAGTGCATATAGAAAAAATATCTACTGATTTATTAGTTTTTATGGGGGATGCTGGGGGTATCATCAAAGCTGAAACTCAGACATACGTTTAACTGTAACTGCATCAGCTGTAATCTCCATCTCTGCATCCATGACTGAAAACCTTCAAAAGGTGCAGGAGCTTTTCTTATTAAAACTGCAAGTAAACTCAAATGACAGATTTGGTGACTGTTTTATGCCAGATGCCCTTCATGACGCATCCTGGACTTGAACCTGCAGCCTCAAGAGTACAAAACGAACTTCCAAGCTACCACAGCCCCCTCATTCTATCAAATCTCCTATTTATGTTGTTCCAAAAAACAAACAAAAAAAAAAAGTCAATCCTGATTTATGTCATTTAGAAAAAAAAAATCCAAATGATCATTGTAGTGGCACGGTCTGATGGTTAGGTGTCAAACCCAAGTGCAGGCAGACCATGGAGACTCTGAGATTTACAAAAATAAATAATTTATTGACCAAAACAAAAGACTGATGGGCCGGCAAACTATTTCACGTCTCTGAGAAAAGATCAGTTCTATCCTGTGCTTGACCCGTCCGTTACTCTAACCTGCTTTATTTTGTTCTTCAAGTAGTTCTTTTTATGAACCAGGTGATAAAATAAGCCAGGTAGAGCTCAGGAAGTGCTGTGCTTTTGTAATGTCAGGAGGGTAGGACAGACCATGATACCAAAAACTCATTTTCTCCTCCTCAGCGATGGCTTGATCATCCAGAGTGATAAATTCAGTCCCCTGTTCTTTTGTCCTTTTGTGTCTTATTGCTGTCCTGTGAGGACTTGTCTTCTCTGAAGAGTTTCCTCTAAAATGTGTTGTTTAGCTTTGTTAGCTTTAAGGGTTAGCTGGGTGTTTGGATTTTAAACATCGGATCCAGTCGGTGATACGCCCCAAGAAACGATATGTCAACTGTATGTAATTGTCCACTGGTTCCACTAATATTGGTTATTTATTTCGGGGCGGCTGTGGCTGAGTGGTTAGAGCAGTCGTCCTCCAATACAAATGTTGGGGGTTCGATTTCACCAGCAGTCACATGCCGCAGTGCCCCTGAGCAAGACACTGAACCCCTCATTGCTTCCGATGTGTCCCGTCAGTGTATGAATGTGATAAAGCTCTGATTATTCTTTGTAGAGATCTAGTAGAGTGCTGTATGAATGGGTTAATGAGGACACAGATTGTGTTGTAAAGAGCTTTGAGTGTCTTAAGATGGAAAGGTGCTGTATAAGTACAGTCCATTTAATTGTAAAAAAAATAATCAGAATTTGAGCCTTAGTCAGGGACCAACCATTGAGGACCAAAACAAGGGGCCTTTAGGTTGAAGATCATCAGATGGAAGGCTGCAGCAAGCAGAAGGGTTGCCAGTATCCTCTGTGTGAAGAATTCATTTAAAACCTTTCAGATTCATCCACCTCTCTAATCTGAAACTAAACAGGAGAGGTATCAGTAGATCTTTGGCTGATAAGCAGCACAAGAACTTTGGCTGCCTGCCCGGGAGGAGTCGATGGGGAACAGGACAGCCCCCAGAAACCACTATTTACAGCAAACTGGTTGGTCCACTTAAGAAGTTTACTGCTTGGTGGGGAAACAGTTCACTTGCAACTCCTCAGACTGATGAAGCCCTCTGGATAGGGGGTGAAACGTCTCTACAAAGAAGAAACTGTCCAGATGACCTGACTGAGCATTATTGGATTTGGTACCTGGATGACTGAGCATGAACTTAGATGAGCACAAGAACATTTGTTTATTTGTTCTCCGTTGGAGAGATGAAGTCTTCATAAAGGGATGTCATGTGACAGAAAACATTTCAACATGCAGCATATATACGATACGTTTTCTTAAAGATGTCAGTAAATCATTTTCATCTCTGTGTTTGGAGGCGGGCAGCACGGTGGCGCAGTTGGTAGAGCTGCCGCCTCTCAGCGAGAAGGTCACCGGGTCAAATCCCGGACAGGGCCCATTCTGGGTGGAGTTTGCATGTTCTCTCCGTGCATGCGTGGGTTTTTTCCATTTCCTCCCACAGACCAAAAACATGCATGTTAGACTGATTGGTAACTCTGAATTGTCTCTAGGTGTGAGTGAAAGTGAATGGCTGTTTGTCTCGTTTGTCTCTGTGTGTCTCTGTGATGGACTGGAGACGTGTCCAGGCTGCCTCTAACGCAGTGATGGCTGGATATGGGCACCAGTGACCTCATGACCCTAAAGGAAGAAGCAGGAAACGATAATGTTTGGAGACATTCCTTTAGTGGCGCCACATCTCTCTTGTTTCTCACAGCTGTTGTAGTTTCATCCAGCTTCCCTTTGCTTCCTTTTCTTCATGTATCTATCAGTATTTAATGTCGTATTACTTTGATTTCTCCAAGTGATAATTCTTGTTGTATCCCGGCAGGTTATTCCTGAAGATGACTTCATCTGCCCTCACGGTGCCCAACTCCACAGCTGCTCCGAACACGACGTCTGTCACCAAGGAACAGGAACAAATCCTCTTGCAGAGTAAGACCCTCTGTGATTTTTTTTTTGTTTGTCTTCTTTAGTCAAATAGAATAAAACACACTGTTCTGACGGTTTGTTGTGGAGACCATCGGATCCTGGTAAAATAAAAAAAAAAGCAAACACCCCGTGCCTCATAAAGAGCGAGGTGTTGCGCAGGAGCGGCAGCAGAAAATATTTGCCGTGTTCTGTTTGTGTGCGAGTGATGCTGTTGCTAAGAGACGGCAGCACCGGAGGAGACACAAAACTAAAGTTGCTCCACAATCAGGAGGGGAGCTGAGAACAAAATGATGATTTTAAACCATCAAAACCAAACTCTTGCTTTTGTTCCCGTCAGGTTCTGGAGCTATGATCGCTCTCATTGTCATCGGCATCATCATCATTCTGACGGTTGTGCTCATCGTTCTGAAGACATACAACAGGTCAGGTGACATTCCTGCATGTTAAATGTGACATGCAACAACTGGGTTATTTTTATCCACTTGGACTGAGGACGGCGTGTCTGCTGCAGCTTTACCAAACATATTTTAATCCTCGTTACGAGCTCAGCTTTTTCCCTCCAAGATGTTACAAAGCTAGTCCACATTTTGTGTAAATATAACTTAAGCCTACAGTTAAAAATATTTTAATCTAAGATGTATTAATAGATAAGTAAAGCATGTAGTTTTAAGTTTTACAGCTTCCCAGGACCTGTGGAAAGGTCCCAGTTTAAAATGGGAACACTATTTCCCCTTTTCATCTTGTTTTTTTTTTTATTCTTGCAAATTTAAATGCCAGTTTGAGTTTATATTCTGAAGTTGCGTGTCTTGTTCAAGTAAAATTTACATTAAAAAAAAGAATTGAGCTTTTTTTAATATATATATAATTCAAAGCATCGTCAATGAAATGTCGCAGCTCCAGTCTGATCTAATTTGATGGGTTTTTTTTTATACAAAGTAAATTAAATGACTTCTAGGAAACTCCAAAAACAAGAACAGATGTGACAAAAGGACACTAAGAAACCATGGCGGGAACTCAAAAGACCACAAAAAGACTCAAAGTGACTGCGAAATGCAAATAGCATAAAATAAAAAAGATATTTATGAATGAAACTAGGTTTTTTTTTCTTAGAAATGCTCAATCAGCACTCAAGCTATACGTTGTAGATCACTCTTAGCTACTACCACACCAAATTTTAGCTCATCATCTGTAAATTTATAAGACATTGTTGTATTTTCTAAATTCAGTGGGTTATGGCAGCCAACTTGATTCAGGTTTAGGACAAATGTACATTCTAGATGTACGTTCAATGATTTATTCCTGAAAGTTTCATTCAATTCTTCCCGGTGGTTCATGAGATATTTTGCTAACAGACAAGCTGGGCTAACTTACAGTTATTGCAAAATTTTTGACCAAAACCCTTGCGCAATAGATTGTGCTCAGAGTGCATGTTGGGAGAGATTCTCAGTTACTGCCACACCAAATTTGAACATAACAGCTGAAAAAACTGCAGCGTTTTAGCTGTTTTTGTATTTATCAAGGTTCTTTAGCTGTGGCGGCCATCTTGAATCATGCTGACTCCTAACCTTAATCATTTGTAGATGTTAATCAAATTGTTTTATTTTCGAAGATTCAATAAAATCCATCTGGTGGTGCATGAAATATTTTGCTAACACACAGATTTATATGCAAAAACCAGACGTAATATGACTTTGATCACTTAAGGATTACAAAATAAAAACAATTTGCTTTATTAACATGGACTTGATGTAAGAAAATGCAGTTTGCAATGAACACTCATCAAATAGCAACAAATTAACTTTTTTTTTTTACAGAATTGTGTAATTTATTTATCATTTTATCTTCTTGGCCAGGCGGACGCACGCGTCTCGACTCCTAGGAGGGAGTTCCAAACCTCGAGCCAAACTGTCCCAGACCACAGGTCAGGGCAGCCTGCCTCTGAACCCGGTCAGCTCCGTGTCGGGCAGCATCACCCACTCCACCCCAACCCCAGAGCCCCGGGTGGAGCTCAGCAGCGTCGAGGGGAATCACATAGAGCAGTTCAGCACCACCAGTGACTACAGCGGGTCCACCCTGGTCACCATCCACGACACACCCTCATATGGAAACACATAACACACACACGGACTGCAGGTTGGGCTTTAAACAGGCGTTGACTGATGTTATTTTCATCCCTGACCACAAACTGTGCTGACTGAATCTTGTGGAAGTCTGATGCTGTCAGTCTCTGGTTGGATTACAAAAATATGCATCATGAACAAAATGGTATAATGTGAAGAATATGCATGGCGGCAAAGGTGAAACCATCTTTTTCAGTAACTGTCTTTTTAATGGCTCATGTCAGTGTTCAAGCTCCTTGTATAAAACGAAGTAATTCATAGAAGCTTCAAATCGCTTGGTCTAAAGGAATTGTTCTCAAACGATGTTTTGGCTTCACCCCGGTCCCCCCCTGCAGTGTCAACAGGCCCGCTGCCTTGTTTGGAGAAAACTAGACCATTTCTGTGATTATTTCTGAAAACAGAAAAGGATCATTTATTTACAAAAGGTTTACAAGTTATTAGGGAATTAGTATAAAAAGTTATAGATGAAGGAACTCATGACAGAGGACAGATTACTGTGTACTACATACAAGTATGACTGAGTATGGTAACTTTATAAGTTTATTTTGATGTGGTATACTTTGCATAATTCTGTCCTTGCCTTCTCCATACAGAATATTAAATATATATATTAATTTTCAATGCATTTTTTTTTTTTTTTTATAACTACAAGAAGTGAAGAAACTATGAGGGCATGCTGGTTAGTTTCTGTCAGCAAAACCCATTGTTTCCTTGTTAATTTGATGGAAGTATTTTGCACTTTATTTTCACTGCTCCATGTGATTTTATGTTTTGGGGGTAATTTTTCTTAAATTAATGGTATTAAAAATGTTTTATTTTTAAAATTTGGTCATGTGTTTTCTTCCGTATAATAAAATATAAGGTTTCCTGATGCATGCTCAATATAAGGTTCTGTTTGTAAAGGATATTTTGAAAAAACAAAAATACTGTATAGATGAGACTTACTGCGCTCTCTGCTGGTATGAATGAACACCAGTCGCTTTGTTGCCAGATATACAATCATTATCGTGCATATAATATAGTTTAAAACAGGGTCTATATAAAATAAACAATTTTATTTTAAGGCTCGATACGATAATAAAGTTTTAAAATTCCTCAGCACTGATAAAAAACTGGACGAATTTTTTTAACTCTTTCCAGGCGTAAATGAGAAATAGCATCCCTCTTCGCACACGCGTTAGGTTGAAACAGCGGTACGATATTTCGTTATTTCTTAATTGGCAACTTCATATAGCGACGTAACGCATTAAAGGTGCATTCAAGAAATCAACAGCGTTCTCGCTAAAAATCAGCGTAGCTTAGTAAAAAGAAAATTATTATTTTATGTTACTTTTCTGCAATTTAACTCCGCTATTTAACTATTATACATATATCCTGATGCATGCTCATGCTATTATACATATAGTTGAAATTCTAAGTAAACGTGGTCATTTAAAAATGTTTATTAACAACGGAGTCTTGAATGCAACTTAACCGGGATGCTGCTAACGTGAAAATGGTAACTGTAGGTGAGTGATATCATCTGATTAATATTGACATGTACAGTAATCATATTTGCTGGAAGCGGCACAGTCGTTTTGTATTCGAGCTCAAATACATGTTGTTCTTTTCCTTTTAGCGTGAATTACACATAGCTAACGTTTAGCTTATGCTAAGGAAGTAGCAAACTTAGCGGGCGCTAACCAGTCAACCTTTATAACCGGTTGTTTACGTCGTTACGTTGTAGAAAACAAAACGTAAATATAATGATGAGTGTGACACGTGTTTTCAGCGGAGCTCGCCAGTCTGCTGCTGGTGTCGGTGCTGTGGGGCTGCACCAACCCTTTCCTGAAGAAAGGCTCAGAAGGGATAGAACACGTGACAACAACCAGCAACGTCTCACAGCTTCTGGCTGAAATCAAGTTCCTTTTCCTAAACCTCAAGGCATGCTTTTATAATATTATTATGTAATAAGTCGACTTTTAGTTCTCTATTTGGTTAAATTGTGTCTTTTCTTCTAGTACTTGGTCCCATTTCTGCTAAACCAGAGTGGCTCTCTGGTTTACTACTACACATTGTCAACCACAGGTGAGACACTTGAAGCTCATCACTGCCTCATGGGAGCATGTTTCACTTGAAAATGTATTTGACAAACGCCTAATATTGGTGCAGCGGTTTGGGACTTTAAAACCCAAAGTGTCACAGCAGTCGTCACGAATGAATACTTCAATATTTGACTAAACCCGTTCAGTGTCTTGCTATCGATGCCTGAAAGTGTGGGTCATGAGTTTCTGCCCTTTTTTTAAATTTTGTGGGTCAAAGTCTTTAAAAGTTTGCAAACCACTAAGTGACCAGATGAAATGTAAAACAAATGATTTAAAGGGTCTGGATGATGTGTAATGTTTACCAGTTCTGTTTGATGGACCCATTACAGCATCTGCTGTTTTTATTTTTTTTATCATGGCTCAATCTCCAGATTACTAATATTTAGATATATAAAAAACTAGAAAATAAGGAAAAGAAACCCAGGAGGACCAAAGTTCAAGAATCCAGATAAAAATCCAACAATGTTCAGTCAGGTCTTCTGGACGTTTTTTTTTTTTCTGAGACATTTCGTCCTTCATCCATAGGACTTCTTCAATCTGAGGAGCCACCAAACAGCACACTCCCATAGTGGAAAAAAACAAACAGCTGGTGATAAGATCACCTCTGGGGCCTGCCCTCTCCCCCATCAACTCCATGCCAAATCCTGGAGGAATTTATGAAATTAGTTAATTGATCAGGATCAACTCTGAACTCAGATTACTGTGATTTTCTTTTCTTTGTTTGTACCATCATTATTCCTGTTAGAATAGCTCTCACCTGACACATAGAAAGATTTATAAGAATTGAAAAGCAGAGCCGAGACAAATACTCGGTGCTGTTGGCTGAAAGCTGATTGGAGTAAAGTTGAGTGAAAATGTCACGGAGCCTCTTTCTGTACCTGCGTCTTCCTGTTCAGGGTCATGCAAACCTGGAGCCAACCCCAAATTACAAGTCACCAGCTCATCACCCGTTCACAATTACTCATTAAAACCCTGCACGCTTTCAGTCAGTGGGAGGAAGTCGTAGTGCAAGAGAAAATCCATGGAGGCAGTTAGGACGAGCACAAAAACAACCATGAGAAAAATATCTACAAAGAAGCTGAAATAATCCCAATTATTTTTAACAAATTTCACTTAATCAAAAAAAAAAAAACCCAGCTGTTCTGGCGCTTGCTGGACTACATGTAAACAAGTGAAAGTATCTGTTTTTGTATTCTGTGTGTAAAGATCTAACATTAACTTCTCGTTCAGAGTTATCCCTCGCTGTTCCTGTAGCTAACTCGCTCACCTTCCTTTTCACTCTGCTGACTGGGAAGCTACTGGGAGAAGAATTTGGAGGCAAACGTGAGTCACTAATGCATCAAGTCGTTTATTTCCCTCCTTCCTTTGAATAAGAATGAAATCTCTTCAAATGTGCCTAAAAGTAATCTCGTTCTCCCCTTCACTCTACAGAAGCTGTAGCCGGGATGCTCCTCACCACGGCTGGCATCACTCTGTGCATTATTAGCTCCATGAGCGAACAGAACACGAGCCCCCCCGAGCTCTAACAGAGAACTGTTCTGTCAGCAGGGCGTTAAATAACACCAAAGCTGGTGAAGGGGACCGCTTAGATTTAGGCAGAGCGACGTCTCTGGAGGGAGAATGCGCTTAACGTGAGCATCTAAAGGCCGGTGTGGAAACAAGTAGTTAAAGTGAGTTCATCTAGAGGTCAGTCCAAAGCTAGGGTGGATTTATGGCCCTCACAAAGGAAATCAGAGCTTGTTTGCTTTTGCTCGTAAGCGCTCTGTTGCTCTGTGGGTGAAGATGTTAGAGACGACATAAGGCATGGGGTAAAGATGGACCAATCACATGCCACCTCCTCAGTTTGTATAACAGCTGTATCCTTTATATTATGTGTGTGTATATATATATATAATTTTGTCCCCCATTGCAAAGCAAAAAGGGGAAGCTTATTCAGTGAAGGTCAAGGCCACCATTGGCCACCCCCTGGCTCCGTCATTGTACCAGGTGGTGGAAAAAAATTGCTCCCTCCGCTCGCCAGTATCCGTCACTCTGCAGCACCTTGGAAAATAAAATAAAAACTCCGTTCCTCAGTGTAACTTCTACCCACTGGAAGATCTTGCGCAAAAAAAACAAAACATTAAGGTTTACTTGGATTCTCTGTTGAATTCCAGTCTAGAAAAACACTCATCTCAAAAATTACAAACATTTACTCTTCAAATCCTAGTGACGGGGGACACTGGTGTACTGGTTGGTAAATTAAAAACATCACATTAGGCCAGTTGAAAGTTTCCCATTCGTCTCCTTTTCTTCTTGGTTGCCTTGCGTCTCAGCCGTTCTACTGAAGTACCGGTAGATATTTCACTGGGAAAAACTCTTAACAAGCCGCTTGATGCTGCTAAAATATCTAGGAAGTAAAAGATTAAGACAGGACACGTGCATAGTAATATATATATATATATATATATATATATTTATTGTCACAGTATTTTGATTCAGGACGCTATACAGAGGACTGGTTGTTTTTGTTTATATTTTAGTAATAAACTATTGGCACAACTTTTCATCTGTTATTTTCTATAGATCTATCTATTATACATTTATTCAAACTGCTCAGAACTAACATGTTCTTAAAATGTTTTTTTATTTTTTTTATTTACATGAATGGAACATTTAACGTCAGCATCCAAACAGGATTAACACAATATAACCGGCCATTGCTTCTATTAAACATCACGTATTATATACTGTCACATTCTCAGCTTACAGTTTTCTATTTAAAAAAAAACCACACAAATTATTGCTTATTTCAGCCAGATGCTATTCCAGCTGCATTGTGGGGGCAGTGCACAGTCTGTTATTAGCAGTGACGCCCTCCTGATGATGGTTCTGTCCTGCTGGGACAGACGAGGCGTCCTGCAGGCTCTCCTGTCGCAGCAAATTATTACGTTCAGACCAAACAGAAAGATAATCTCAGGATGATGCCAATAAAAACATTTTGTTTGTAAACTTGCCTGTTGTTCCCCGACCGTCTTATCTATGAGCGATGATGAAGACCGCAACTTTGGAGACACCTTTAAAAAAATAAATAAAGCTGATGTTCTGCCTATGAACTCATTATAAATGGGTTATTGTGTGTGTGTGTGTGTGTGTGTACCAGTATTTCAGTGGTGGGCTCCTGTTTCAACGCTGGTTCCTTTCAAAAATCACATAATAATAATAATCACATAAATCACTTGTCAAAAATGAATATGTTAGGAACTAACTATTGTTACCACTTCTGTTCCCTTCTCTGCATCGAGCTTCTGAGAACTTTCTTTGTCGTTGGACTCACTTTTGATCATTTCTGCAGCGTTCTAGATGAAAGCAAATCATCTTGTTGTAAACGGATGCATCGTGTTTGTGGCGTTAAGCCGATAAATACTCACCACACCGATGCAGGTTAAACATACAATAGCTACGAAAATAATTTAACCCCCCCCCCCCCCCCTTTTTTTTTTTTTTTACACGAACATAGTTGACAACTATATAACAAGAAAAACGATCCAATACTGAAGATCTCGTACGGATTCTTTGAAGAAATGCACATCATCTGCCTTTTGTGCTAAAAACAAAAAATAGTTTTATGAGTTGTAGCCATTTAGGTCAAACCTTCTACATGACTTTTTGTGTGATTTCATGTTGGATTTGTTGCTGAACACTCAGGAAGACTCAGCTGCAGTAGTCCCTCGTTTATCGCGGTTGTCAAAGGCCACGCCCACCCACGATAAGTGAAAACAGTTAAGTAGGTATACAGTAGTCCAAGTTCAGTAAACTTTGTCATGACATGCCAGACTGCAATCACACTCGTCACCTGTTACTCCTAATCTTAAATAAACAATTTAAATAATAAAATGTTACAGTATTTAAATTGTAGAGAAGAGAAGTGCAGCAGGACATCAAAGTGATGTCACACAGCTTCAGCTCTGCAGCACGGAGCACAAATGTACTTCTTGATCAATTACACTTCAACAACTGAACATGGAAGTTCTAAAATAATAATAAATAACTTTTAACACTTTTATATTTTGTGATTATGACAAGGGCAGCACGGTGGCACAGTTGGTAGAGCTGCTGCCTCTCAGCGAGCAGGTCCTTGGTTCAAACCCCGGTCCAGGGGCCTTTCTGGGTGGAGTTTGCATGTTCTCTCCGTGCATGCGTGGGTTTTCTCCAGTAACTCCAGTTTCCTCTCACAGACCAAAAACATGCATGTTAGGCTGATTGGTAACTCTAAATTGTCCCTAGGTGAGTGAGAGAGTGAATGGTTGTTTGTCTCGTTTGTCTCTATGTGTCCCTGTGATGGACTTGCGACCCATCCAGGGTGTACCCCGCCCCTCGCACAGTGATTGCTGGACATGGGCACCAGCGACCCCCGTGACCCAAATAAGTGGGTAAAGATAATGGATGGATGATTATGACAATTTTGCGATGTGACCTACTTTGAATTTTAAGTTGGAAGACAAAAGTCGATCGGTGCATCTGGACAGCAAAGGGTTCACAAAGCTGCAGCAGGAGAAATGTGTGTGAGTGGCAGAGAAGGAGATCAGCTGATCAGCTGCAAGAGGGAGCTTTCCCCTGCACTTGAGGGTTGCACACATGGTGCACAATAATTTTAAATAATTTATTTTAAATAAGCAATCCGTGGCTCATCCATCCATTATCTTTACCCGCTTCTTCCATTTTGGGTCACGGGGGTCGCTGGTGCCCAAGTCCAGCCATCACTGTGTGAGGGGCGGGGTACACCCTGGACGGGTCACAAGTCCATCACAGGGACACATAGAGACAAACGAGACAATTTAGAGTTACCAATCAGTCTAACATGCATGTTTTTGGTCGGTGGGAGGAAACCGGAGTACCTGGTGAAAACCCACGCATGCACGGAAAGAACATGCAAACTCCACCCAGAAAGGTTCCCCAATTGTGTCATGTCCAATCTTATTTTGAAAAACTGCGACATAGCAAACCTGCGATAAACGAATCGCCAAGTAAGGGACTGCTGTACGACCAAATTAATCTTTATCTCAAAATCAGCGACTGTAAAAACTGCACCCATCACCATTCAGGTCATTGTTTGGGGTGGATACTTCAGCAAGTATGAGAGGAATATGAATCAGTTTCTAGCAGGAGACTCATTTTATGCAGATGGAAAGATCCACATCCTGAACACTGGACCAGAGATGTCATGTATCATGTTCATCTGGAAAAGATCAGATATACTTTAAGGTTCTGCTAAGAGGTTTTGAGACACCTGACAGCCATTAGAATTCAAAACATGTCAATGCCTGTTTAACATGTTTATGTCTGTGTGACTGATCCAGTGTGGGAGGGGATTTTGTTATTTTGTTGTATGTTTTCTTTTCTTATGGGTGTACTTTGAAAAAAAAATTTCAATAAAAAGACAGATTAAAAAAAAAAAAAAAAAGGTGTTGAAACCTCCCTAACGAGACATTTCAGAGAGATTCAGAGTTTCTTTATGGTCATTCGCACCACATGTGGTACATGTGGTGGAACAAAATTATGTACGCAAGGTCCCAGTTACTCCAACAATAAAATGTAAAAGTAAAACAGTAATAAGATCTAAGATATGAACTAAGAAAAACATCAGCTAAATATACAATAAGCACCAGCAGCATAAAAACAACAAACAACACGCTGAGCAGCAGCACGGACATGAGTCTGTGTGAGCAGATGAGCACGCAGGAACACAGCAACATGAAACAGATCAGCAGCAACATGAAACAGATCAGCAGCAGCATGATGTGATTTTTCACAGTGATTATTCTAGTTAGAGATTCATGAGTCTAACAGCTTCAGGGTAGAAGCTGTTCCTCCGTCTAGTGGTTCTACACTTAATGCTCCTTAACCTCCTTCCTGAGGGGAGCGGAGAAAAAAGTGTGTGTGCTGGGTGAGTGGGGTCCTTCATGATGCAGGTGGCCCTCTTCCTGCATCTGGAGGTGTAGATGTCTGTGATGGTGGGGAGGCTGACTCCAACAATTTGCTGGAGAAGCGATGGGGCACCTGCTGTTTGAGCCGCTGGGTTTCTCTGCCCCCATGACGTGTGGCGGTACACACCCGTGGGTTCGTTGCTAGTTCACATGGATGTAAACAGTTGGGCCATAAACGGATGTCATGAAACTTCAAATAATACACAATAAGTAGTTTTTGTTGTTCTTTGTCTGCTGTTCCATTTATCAAAGCATTATGTATCACATTTAAAACTAATGGTTATATGAAAGGATCAGCAACTGACAAGGATATCTTTTGTAACAGAGCTTTGACTCCATGTGGCGGTACGTGCCTGCAGACTGCTGAGCGGAGCGTCCTCTGTGTCGTTCAGCTCTTCCTCCACTATCTCTGCAGCTCTCTGCAGAGCAGAGTTCAGCTTACATGGAGACAAAACTGTAGGAGCTCTTACAGAGGGATATTTCATGTTCTTTGTGCAGAGTCGTTAAAAAACAAAAACAAGTTGCTAACCTGGTCAACAGGAAGCTCTGTAGCTGTGTTTTCATCCTCCTGCACCTCCTCAGCACCTTGCACCTCCTCTCTCCCTGCTTTCGCTGCCCTTCTGATCTTACTCTGCTTTACTGTCACGATAAACGTGGAGATGCTCAATGACAGCTTACTTAAAGAAGTTTGTGATGTTCGATTTGTTTGGAGTCCTAACCAGATCTGTCAGAGAGCAGCGGCCTCGTTCCGTTGGAGCGAACCTTCACGGGCCTGGAGAAGAAGGCCGACGCCTCGTCTGCTCCGTCTCTCCTGCTCGTCTGCAGAGCTGCAGCTTCATCCCCCGTCGACTTCACCCTGCGACCGTCTGACTGAAATTCACGGCTCACAACTGAATACAGGTTTTAACTGCAGCTCGGCTGTATGAAACATTTCAAACGTGTCCTCAGCATCATGTCTGGATGGATGGACAGTTTTTCCTGTTACCTCTGGGGAATTGAGAAGAGCCGAGTCACTGTACTGGTCTTCTGGGCCACTTCCTTCTTTCCTGTTCTAAAACAAAAACAAATAGACCTGATTTTGTTTTTCTCTTGTTAATTTCTAAAAGTTGTCAGTCAGATCTGGCACACAGGCCTGAAAATGGGACAAACAATTAGAAGGATGTTTACCTCAGCTCTTCTCAGCAGCCTTCTTTTATCAGGATATTGTCTGAAAATAAAGAAACTAATTTAATCTATTAGTTTTTATCCTTTAAGTTCTCTGAAAACATTATTTTGCCTAATGCAGCCCCATCTTTACACCTACAAAGGCCGGACAGTACCTCTCTGTAGCTTTTGATACCAGCAGCTCCACATATGGAAGTTTCTTGAACCGTTCGGTTCCCACGGCAACGTAACAGCGACCCGTCTCCAGCTCCCCAGCTGAGGACACAGCGACTCCTTCCAACGAGCACAGTCTGGAAAAAAGAAAAACGTCACAGCACTTTCGTCATTTTTGTTTGTGTCCTGCAGGAGACTGCGCGCAGGTGTGACTGACCTGCGCACGGCTCCGGTCCGTAAGCTGACCTTCTCCGTGACCAGACTCAGAACCTGCTCCAGGTCTTGCTGCATGCTCCGAGGGATGATGAAGCGAAGCGGCGGACTCAGAAGATCCCCGTTACGAAAAACACTGAACGTTTGAGGGGAGGTTATAGCTCGCTGACAAGTCCGTCATGTCACCTGCAGCTTGTCATTAAACCAGTATCATCCTCTGATGAGAAATGATAAGTGTCGCCATGCTACACCATGATGTCACCCTCAGAGTACGTGCTGGGATTAACTCTCAGCTACTACCACATCAAATGGGAGCTCAAACTCTATGTTTGCTGGCCTTGTTAGCTGTAGCAGCCAGCTTGAATCATGCTGACTCCACCAGCACATCCAATGCCCAGTAGCTCGTAAGATATTTTGCTAACAATCAAACAGGATGGATAACTTGGATGCTTTAGTTTCTTAATTTTATTCCTTATGTTTCAGTCATGCTGCTTAGAATGTTTAAACATGACGATACACTGTGTGTGTACTCACTGTATAATGCAAGGCACAGGGATGAACTTCCTCCACTTGGCTGAAACATTTGGCCTCAGAAGGACTTTTGCTTGCTGGGAACATTTAGAAAATCAAAATCAGTGTCCTCTCAGCTCATCAGTTACACACACATCCATGAGCAGACTCATTTATCCAGACTGTGCCCTCGTGGCGCACGTCCCCTTGTTTGATGTGAGGCATCACATTAAAACTCTACGTATCGTTCCATATGGGTCAGTCAGCAACTGGGCACGTTCTGCCACGTCAGAACTGAGTCACACAGTTGATTCATTTACAGCAGAAGCTGTGATTTAAAGCTTGTTGGGACACACACACAATTCAATTTAGTTCAGTTTATTTATAAAGCACCAAGTCACAAAAGAAGTCGTCTCAGGGCACTGAACAGAAACATTCATATATAAAAATAATAATTTAACATTATTTATCTGAGGAGCAGACTGCTTTGAGTTTAAATTCATCACAGAACTCTCATCTTGAGCAAACATGAAGGAGACAGTGGAAAGGAAAAACTCCCTCATGAGGAAGAAACCTTTAGCATAATGGTCTGCGACGTTTACAGTGAAAGGAGCCATATCTGCCCCATTCGTTCACTAAAATGTGTCCGGAGCCACACGCTCTCCATCCAACCTCACTGAGCTCGAGCTGTTTTACAAGAAAGAATGGGCAAGAATTTCATTCTCTCCATGTGCAAAACTGATAGAGACAAACCCCAAGAGACTTGCAGCTGGAACAGCAGCAAAAGGCGGCGCTACAAAGTATTAACGCAAGGGGGCCCAATAATATTGCACGCCCCACTTTTCAGTTTTTTATTTGTTAAAAAAGTTTGACACATCCAATAAATTTCATTCCACTTCACGATTGTGTCCCACTTGTTGTTGATTCTTCACAAAAAATTTAAATTTTATATCTTTATGTTTGAAGCCTGAAATGTGGCAAAAGGTTGAAAAGTTCAAGGGGGCCGAATACTTTCGCAAGGCAATGTATTTATATATACACACACATATCAATATAGATATACACACATATATATATATATACACATATATATATACATATAGACTCATATATACATATATATAAAGACTTTGCTTTTATATGACAACCCAGGGACGATGCCTGCAGCACCAGCACGTTATGACGTCACGTGCACTGTTGAGTTTAGATTTGTGAAAATTTATAAATTTGCCCTGTTTGGAGTAAATGTCATGAATAAATTTGACATGAAACATAATCCCAGTTGAAGTGTTACATCATTTTCAGCCTCTTTTTGGCATTTGTATTTGGTAACAGGCCAAACTGACAAAGACCATGCAGAATAATGTAGTGTTTTAATTCCATAGCAGAGAAAAATTATGTAGTTTCGGTAGTTTTTAGCTAACGCTAAAGCCTGTAAACTCCCCATGCCGTCTCTCTTTCTGTCGAATGTCCGCTCGTTGGACAACAAGATGGATTTACTTTGTCTGAGAGCGGGCGCCTCAGAAGAGATGAAGAAGTGTGTGGTGCTTTGCCTCACAGAAACGTGGATTACAAGTGAAACGCTGGATACAGTCTTCCAGCTGGATGACAGACTTTTTTTCCGAGCGGCCCGCTGCAGCAAGCTAACAGGGAAATCACGGGGAGGCAGAGTATGCATTTACGTGAGTAGAAGTTGGTGCACGAACTGTACTGTTGTAAATAGCTCATGCTCGAAAGCTTTGGAGCAAATAACTGAAATGTCGACCACATTATCTACCCCGCGAGTTCACAGTGACTTTCATCACGGTTGTTTACATTCCTCCGGACGCTAATGCTAATGAATCACTACAGGAGCTTCATGATATCATCGGCTTGCTGCAGAGCAAACACCCCGAGGCTCTTTACGTGGTAGCCGAAGACTTTAATCACGTGAATATAAAGGACTGTCTCCCAAGCTTTTATCAACGTGGCAATTCCAACACGTGGGAACAACACGCTGGACCGTGTTTACACAAACGTAAAAGATGCATACAAAGCCGAACCCCGCCCCTACCTAGGACTGTCAGACCACATCTCAATCTTCATGGCTCCTGCTTACATGCCCCCACTGAGACGCTCCAGACCGGTACAAAAGAAAGTTAAATGTTGGATCCAGGACAGTGGCCCCATACTGAGAGATTGTTTTGATCGAACAGACTGGCAGGTTTTCAGAGTTACATTAGTACATGTACTGACACCATCTCCACCATCAGAAATGTTAAAAGCTACCCAAACAGAAAACCTTGGCTAAATGCAGAGGTGTGCACCCTGCTGGAAGCCAGGAACACTGCCTTCAGGTCTGGAAACTCAGAAGAGCTGAGTAGGACAAGGAAAGAGCTGGTTGCTGGTATTAAGAAGGCCAAGGCCATATATGCACAGTGGATCGAGGGTCAATTCATCTCACAAGACCCTCGGAGCATGTGGAGGGGCATTAAGTGCATAACAGATTATAAAGGAAGGAATGAACAATGTCCCAAAGACCCATCTATGCCTGATGCCCTAAACAAGTTCTATGCACGCTCTGAAGACCCGAACAGACCACCCAGCACCAGACTCACCTCACCACCGGATGAAGAACATCTCAGCGTGACCTCAGCCGAAGTAAGGAGTACCTTCAGGAGGATTAATCCGCACAAAGCAACCGGCCCAGACAACATCCCTGGGAAAGTGTTGAAAGAATGTCCTGATCAGCTCTGCGAGGTGCTGGCAGACATCTTTAACACTTCACTTACCCTGGAGACAGTTCCCACCTGCTGAAGACTGCCACCATCATCCCAGTCCCAAAAAGCTCTACAGTGACTGGTCTGAATAACTATTGGCCAGTAGCCCTCACCCCGATAGTCGCTAAATGTTTCGAAAGACTGGTCATGACCCACATCAAAACAACCATCAACATCAACGAGGACCCTCATCAGTATGCATACCGTGAGAACCGACCAACAGAGGATGCCATCTCCTCTGTGGTCCACACTGCGCTCAACCACCTGGAGCAGAAAAACTCTTACGTCCGTATGCTCTTTGTGGACTTCACATCCGCCTTCAACACCATGATCCCTCAAACCCTGATGGACAAACTATTCACACTAGGACTAAGCCCCTCCATTTGCAACTTGGTACTAGACTTCCTAACAAACAGACCACAGTTAGTGAGGATCCACAACCTCTCCTCCTCCACCATAACCCTCAGCACTGGCTCTCCTCAGGGCTGTGTACTGAGCCCTCTCCTGTTCACTCTGCTCACGTATGATTGTGCAGCTACCCAGGCAGGCTGTCGCATTGTAAAGTTTGCAGATGATACAGCGGTGGTGGGATGCATCACAAACAATGATGAGTCTAGCTACAGGCAAGAGGTGGAACACCTGGAGAGCTGGTGCAAAGAGAATAACCTTCACATCAATGTGAAGAAGACAAAGGAGATGATTGTGGACTTCAGAAGGAACAAAAA